CAAGTGAGGCCTGCAGTTCTTTAGATGTTGTTCTGGGTTCTTTTATGACCTCCTGGATGAGTTGTCGTTGTGCTCTTGGAGTAATTTTGGTTGGCCGGCAACTCCTGGGAAGGTTCACCATTGTTCCAAGCTTTCTCCATTTGTGGATAATGGCTCTAACCGCGGTTTGCTGGAGTCCCAAAGCCTTAGAAATGGCTTCATAACCCTTTCCAGACTGATACATGTCAACTGTTTTGATTCTCATCTGTTCTTGAATTTCTTTAGATCGCGGCATGATGTGTTGCTATTTAAGCATGCTTCACTTTGTCAGACAGGTTCTATTTAAGTGATTTCTTGATTCAACAGGTCTGGCAGTAATCAGGCCTGGATGTGGCTAGTGAAATTTAACTCAGCATTCTAAAATGATGTGGTTAATCACAGTTCTTTCATGATTTAAAAGGAGGGGCAAATAATTTTTCACATAGGGCCAGGTAGGTTTGGACAGCTTTTTTCCCTTAATAAATGAAATGATCATTTAAAAACTGCATTTTGTATTTACTTGCATTATCTTTGCATAATATTAAAATTGGTTTGATGATCTGAATCTTTTAAGTGTGACAAATATGCAAAAAATAAAAAAAACAGGAAGGGGGCAAAAACCTTTTCACGTCACTGTATTACAGTAATTAGAGAATACACTAATGATATACACATAGTCCTTTTCAAAAGTTTAGGGTCAGTATCAGTAAGATGTTTACTTTAATGTTCTAAATTAATACTTTTATTCAGCAGATGCACTAAACTCATCAAAAGTGACAGTAAAAACATGTATAATGTTACCAAAAACATTCTATTTCAAATAAATGCTTTCTGTTAGTCAAAGAATTCTGAAAAAAAATGCATCTGAACGTTAGTGTATTTGCACACAGTAAGTATAGAATATATTAAAAGTGTGTTTTATTCATGCCATCAAAATATTCAGACAATTCCAATAATGTTTATTAATTTATTTGGTAAATTTAACAATGACACATACCTGAGCACATCTACAGAGGCTTCGGGGGTCAAGGAATGAAAATATATAGAGTGATATGACCCTGGGAAGGACCCTAGTGAAGTCGAGGGCTTCCTCTGGTACCCAGCTGCTCAGAGTCTGTCTGAGATGTTTCAGCTGACTAGCAGAGCATCTGGAGAAAAAATCTTGCAGCACCTGTTTCCGCTGGCTATCTGTCCACTTCTCAAACTGGGGTAAAGAGGAAGAGGGTTTGAGCATATAATCAACAGAGCAAATAACAAAACCAAGAAACAGTAAACATTGCGATTTTTACAGTAAGTGGATTTCTTACCCACTTTCCAAGCAAATTTCTTCTCTCTTCAAAAACCTGCAAAAGTGTTTACATTTGATATGAAACATTCTACGCTATAATATCACTAATATCACTGTTTTGGTAGCTGAAAAAATACACCTGAAGTCAACATATTGAAACTGCAATTCTCATGTAAAACAAAGCAGAAGATCATATACTATATTTTTGGTGCACGTACATGAGCATTGGAGAGCTGATGATTTAGAGGTGTCCAGGCACTCAGTTTGGTCTGCATTTTTGTTCTGGGAGCATGGGGCATCTTTCAGTCAAGTTCAGACGTTTGAGATTCAGCTCCTGCATAAAACCTCAATCATATTAGGCACCACAACATTAAGAGCACTTGATCAAAATTACATACCCATGTTGAGACAAACAAATGTGCTGTGATTTTCATACTAGCAGCAACACAATGGTCTAGTCGTACAGTACAATACAGTATAAAAGAGAAAAAAATCAAACCTATGTCAACCGGAAACAGTCATGTTAGCTATCATAACGAAACATTAAATGTTTACTGATCCGATATAGATGGTTTTGCTCATCCTGCTCAGTACAGTTTACCAGTCTCCATAGCAATCACACTCTGTCCCGCCTCTTTCTAAACACTGGCTATGTTCGATTCGCAAACGATTCATTCTTTTGATTCGGATCTTTTAAACGAATCGGTTTAAAACGAAACGGTTCACAAAACCGATGCTTTAAGTGAACAGAGTATTTGACTGATGGGACGAAAGTAAATTAAAGGCACAATACGTAAGATTTTTTTATTAAAATATAAAAAACCCACTAAAACAGAGTTATATATTTTGCTGACTTGTGTACTTACATTATCCCAAATGTTTCGAAGAATGTTTAAATCCAGAGAAATAAGCAATTTTAAAGGGGTCATAAAGTTTTTGTCTCGTAGCTCCGGCCGGGACAAGGCTTCACAGTATGGTGAGGGGAGTAACATTTCCGTCTCGCGCTTGAGGTATTCGACCAATCAACGCATTGGATAGCTGGCCAATCAGAGCACACCTCGCTTTTTCAGAACGATGAGCTTTGTAAAAATCGACGCGTTTCAAAAAGGCGGGGCATAGAGGAGAAACAACAATGTACAGTATGTGGAAAATAATTTGTTTTATTAACTTAAAACCGCATAAACACATTTCATTACACCAAATACACAAAATAATGTTCTTTTTAGCAGCATCATATGACCCCTTTATCTAGTGACACTGACTGTTTCCATTGTGTCATTGTGTCGCCTGCCAATGTTGTCAAAACCACTCGATTTCCGGTTTTGTTTTGTAGAAAATATGGAAACACCAAAGACGCCTTAATATGTTGTGCGTTTTAACAGAGCGGTGATGACCGCACAGAGTAGCATACTAACAGAACTTTCAAATGTATCTAGTATGATAAAACAGCACTGCTTTACCCACATACGCACGACCAGAAGCAGCGGAAGCGGTCGACTGTGGCATAATAAAAGCTCCGCTGCTTTCGAGCCGTGTGTCACGCTCGTTCAGCGGCCTCTTTCACTTCGACAGCTTTCAGCCTCACCCTGCTTCATTCTACTACGTTAATAAATCATTAGCTCATCCATGAACATGATTTCTGCCCGAGTCCCATCGGATTGCATCGGCTGTGGGGATGAAAACCACAACTCCCATGATTCCACACTCAGTCACAGTGTCATCAAACTACCCTTTGTCTCTTTGTTTATTTTGAATACGTGCCCTCCAGCAGCGAAAATTACATATTGTGCCTTTAATATATTAACCGAATAGCAGAAATGTTATAAATAAAAAAAAGTATTTGATTCGCAAACGGTTCGTTTTTTTTAATCAGATCTTTTAAACGAATCGGTTGATGCTCGTCTAATTGGACAGAGGATTTGACTAATGGGACGAAAGTAAATTAATTTAACCGAATAGCAGAAATGTTATAAATAAAAAAAAGTATTTGATTCGCAAACGGTTCGTTTTTTTAAATCAGATCTTTTAAACGAATCGGTTGATGCTCGTCTAATTGGACAGAGGATTTGACTAATGGGACGAAAGTAAATTAATTTAACCGAATAGCAGAAATGTTATAAATGAAAAAAATATATATTATTTTGTAGTATACAGTTTTACTTTAATTTGAAAGTTTTATCAACATGATATGTGTTTACGAGTTGACTTTATTAAATAGAATTTTATTAATATGTGCAAACACTTGAGAGCTGTACATTAATTTTAGCATTGTTTAATGTAAATGCTAATAATATGTAGGTTCTAAATGAATTCATGTTTTTATTAGCAGCATTGTGGCGGAAACAAACTGGTTTGGGACACGTGAACGTACTTTTATTATTATTATTATTTGAAAAACATTTTTTATTAACTTTTAGAACATGTTGTAAATATACCACGCCTCCAGAAGCGACCACTATATGACGTAATAATGTCGTGACGTAAAAGAATGAATGACTCGTTTCGAACCGATTCTTCGAAATAAAATGCCCAAAAGAACCGAATCGCAAGAATCAGTTGGACTTCCCACCACTAAACACACCACAAATCAACAGCGCCGACTTCATTTCATTATAGTGCGGAGACGCTCCTCGCTCCCAAAGGCCCCCTGGTCATTGCAGCGATGATATCCGCGGATAAACCCAAGCCATTCTATATGTTTGCATACTCAATCCAGTGACGTAAGTTCTAGTATGCTTTAATATTAAGTGAGAGCAATATTCGTCGGCGCATCAGAAAGAGCTATGAGAAAGACACACAGGGCTCGTATTGTTAGAGAAGCAGAGTGGAGTGCCACGCGTGAATGATCTCCACTGGAGAGGTAAGAAGGGCTTTTTATCATTATCAAAATTAATTTTTTAACAATACACCTCAAAATACAGCAGACACCTATTTTAAAGGAAGTTTCATTACAGCGAAGCTGCTACACGCCTTCCGATAGACAGGGTCTCATGTGTTAATAAAGGAAAGGGTTATCTGTTGTTCGCCTTTATTTTGATAAAAACGCGACAGTTTTTAAATGTTACCGAATTTATGTTAAAATCAATAAAAAAGGATAAAATAAAAATCATAGTGATTTTAACGCCAGGGCGTTTGTGATTGCAAAATCCTCGTTCTGCATGATGCCGTTTTTTAGGTAGGTGTTTTTTGCAATGTTTTTGCAAGTTACATTTAAAAATAGGTGAAAAACTGAGGTGTCAGTCTTATAAATCGGACCAAGAACATAATTAAAATAATGTTGTGTTTTTTGTGTAAACCGTCTCTTGCTGTGAACATCACTTTTTATGTTCTGTGTTGACAATCTTGAAATAATCGCAGCCTGTGACTGGGCACACGGACTACAAAATATATATTAAAACTAAAACTACATCAATAGTGGTTGACTGTTTTAAAGTCATCGAATTCCAGTTATTAAACTATCAATATTTCATTTTTTCATGAATTACATTTTTTTTAATGATCATTTATGGTTCCATTTTGACTGAAAGCATGGAACATAATTCGGTTCTGAATAGGTTAATATTGTGTTCCTGAGATTGTTCAGTTTTCTTTGCATTGAATACATAGTTACATTGAAGTTCCCCCTAGGTAATACACTTATAAAGCATCTTTTATTTACTGCAGTATAATATATGGCAGTGCTTTTGATCATGCATTGTTCACTTTGAAAACATTTCCCACGCCTTGAGTGATCTCCAGCCAGATTTTTCGTGTTTGAATAAACTGTCACCCCATTCATGAATAATTCATGTTAGTCGGTTCATTTCAAATGTGACATATGATGCTCTTTCTCCCACAGATGTAACCACAGTCATTCCTACACTGAATAGTGGAAATGCATTGAAAAGACCTGGATCTGGCACAACAAAAATGGAGAAGCACACCCTATCTGTAATTTAAGTCTGGTGTCAAGCAACAGCTAATTAATGAGGGAATGGCGGAGCTCCGATTTTCTTGATACAACCCATCCTTTGCAGGTCACAGCACAGACGGACACACCATGGATCTCCTTTGGGTTCTGTACTCCATGCTGACTGTATGTATGGCCATCAATATGGAAGCTACCGGAAGCCATAGCATGTTTACCTGTGAGCCTATCACATTAAGGATGTGCCAGGGCCTCGCCTACAATACCACCTTCATGCCCAACCTTCTAAATCACTATGATCAGCAGACCGCTGCTCTCGCCATGGAGGTAAACCACATTACACAGGCTGACTGCTCAAAAGATGTGATCAAATTGCATTACATTAACCTAGGACTAGTTCTTATCATCATGCTCTAATAACTGTGTGACCTCAACAGCAGTCAAATATAAATATATATATATATATATATATGTATATGTGTGTGTGTGT